TTTATATACTACATATATACTATATACTATTTATATACTACATATATACTATATACTATTTATATACTACATATATACTATATACTATATATATACTATATATATACTATATACTATTTATATACTGTATACTATTTATATACTACATATATACTATATAGTACATATATACTATATACTACTTATATACTACATACTATATATATATATATACTACATATATATACTATATACTATTTATATACTACATATATACTATATACTACTTATATACTACATACTATATATATATACTACATATATATACTATATACTATATATATAGTACATATATATATAATATATACTATAGATAGTACATATATGTACTATATACTATATATAGTACATATATGTACTATATACTATATATGTATACTACATATTTATACTATATACTATGTATATACTACATATATATACTACATATGTATACTATATACTATGTATATACTACATATGTATACTATATACTATGTATATATTACATATATATGCTAAGTTACAGAACTAAAATTTCGAAAGGAGCCTAAAGTGCGAGAGAAGCCAGTTAACTTTGGTCAGTAATTTATATGTGTGAGTATACATATCCGTAAATATAGAACTGAATTTGCATATGTATATATTTATGTGTGTATATACATTCATATAGATATATGTATGTGCGTGCATGTTGTTTGTGTGATTATATCATTGCAATCGACCCTGGAGAAATATATTTTTATTATTGATCCTTATTAGCAAGACCAAAAGGAATGAGATGACAGTGGCCCTTACAACGAGGCATATACAAAAAAAGAAATATATCAATAATAGTTTAGTGAAAGCGCAGTTTCCATATAAATTTCTGAGGGGAACTGTATGCTAAGTCCTGCTCAGTGGCCCTTCCACCCTATGAACAACTCATGGAATACGGGGAAACATCAGCAATAGAAACAGAATAGATAACAAAAGCTCACTGTATGTATATATGATAAATATGCCATCAAGTTATATTTCGTGTATTTTTATTTCTTATATGTCATCTTTCTACCCCAAAACTCAAATGACCTTTTTTTTAACCTTCGATAGTTCCAAGGAACAACAAAGACCACTTTCTTGACACCTGGGCTAGCCTTCCCTCATCTCCAAGACCCGGGAGAGGAGCACGAGTTCCCTCACTCTGTCTTCGCTTCTCGATCAGTCGAGTACAGTTTCCTTGAGCGGAGTCTCTCTGGTTGACACCCGAGAAAATGACATATGAAGTATTTCAGTTGAATGATTAAACGCACATGTCCATATCTATATCTGTCGGTATATACATATATGAATATATATATAGAGAGAAAGATGAATTGACAGATATATAGACACACACGCAAATATATATATATGTATATACATATATATAAGTATACATATATATATGTATATATACATATCATTAAAATGTATGTTGTCATTAAAATAAATGTTGTCATTATTATTAATGTTATCATTATGATCAATGTTGTCATTATTATGTTATCATTATGATCAATGTTATCCTTATCATGAGGGTTTCACTATATAAGTAATGATTATACTACAATAATAATAACAGTTATAAATAATAACACTGCTATTGGCAAAAAAGACAATATCTATGATGAAACTTCTTTTAAACGCCATACGTAAAGTATTAGGACTATGAAGTTAGCAGACTCATTAATAAGAAAACATATTTGATTAGAATTTACGCTTGGCAAAAAGTGGATATGATTTCCTAATTCGTCTTTATTTCCCTCCTTATCATATTGAGTTTTCCCTTGCAAAGAGATCCGAGAAGCCCAAAAGTGACTGCATCTGTCCTGCCCCCTGAACGACAATAAGGAGTTCGGAATATAGAGAAATGCTTCAAACAGATGAACTATCATTAACAAATATTTTACAGTAGAGATTAGTTGAATTACTTTACATTAAAATGCTACAAATATTCTATGATATTAGTTTACAAGCGATCATTATTACCTTCTTCATTATCATTATCATCTAAACCATTATCATTATCATCTAAACCATTATCATTATCATCTAAACCATTATCATTATTATCATTATGGCCAATATCATTATCATTACCATCAATATTGCCATAATCTTTACCATGACCATTCCACGATCATTACCATGATCATTACTATGATTTTTACCATGGTCATTACCATGATCATTACCGTGATCATTACCATTAGCATTGCCATCATCATTACCATTGCAGCTACCATTATCATTAATATTATGATTATCATAAGCATTGTTATGATTGTTATTATTATCATTAATTTTACTGTTTTATTATTACTATTATAATTATAGCTGTTATGATTATTGTCATTGTCATTATCGTTATTATCATTAGTAGTAGTAGTATTAACATTGAAGTTATTATTCTCATATTCTTATCATTAGTAATATTTCTCATCACCAGTATCCTTATTATTAGCAGCATTATTATAAGTGGCATATTTTTATTATCATACTTATCCATAATATCAGACTTATCATTGATATCAATCGTAATCATTATCAATTGTATTACTACTAATATTGTTACTATCATTATTATTATCAATACTAACATAGATAATATTACAGTCATTATCCATAATATTGTCATCACTATTATGATTGGATTATCATTATTGTTACTATCATTTTTATCCTTATCATGATGAGTATTACTATTATTATTATTGTTGTTCTTTTTATCATCTTTATCACTATCCTTATTAATGATATTTTCTTAATTATTACCGAGTAAGTTAATTTCTATATTACTTTAAATGGGGTTTAAAGATGGCACTCTAGCGTTACCGAATCTTTAGAAAATATGGTGTAATTCTCTCTAGTCAATCAGAGAGAATATAGCTTCATAGCAATGGCAATCCCGCCACCACGGTAAGCACCGAGTGTCAGAGAATAAAATGAAACAGCCATTAAAAGCTGACACAGGCCGGGCCATATATGGAAGGCCCGGGCGAAGCTAGATCTTCGCAAATCTCAACTAAATTACCACGGCGGGTAAGGACTAAGCTCAGCCGAGTCAGCACCAGCTGACACACGTTAGCGAGTCGACACAGGCCGGGCTCCCCTCATGGGCATAGCCCGGGCGAGGCTCAGCTTCGCTTATCGGATTTATCCTTATCTTCGTTCAGTTGAGTTTCTTTGAGCGAAGAATCTTTGCGTTGACGCCCGAGGAAAGGCACGTGCGGCCACTCTGCTGCGAGGAGCTTACCGGTGTGAAGAGTGTGTGAAGCCATAATGTGAGATCATAGGAGAATTGGGTATTTCGCAGTTAATATGTATACATATCATTTCACTTCCATTATTTCTCTTTCGCCACTCGTTCAGCCGAACGCCCCATTAAGCGAAGAGTCGTAGCGGCCACTCTGCTTCGAGGAGCTTACTTGTGAGGAGAGTGTGTGAAAGACAATTCGGATCATAGGACAATTTGGTTGCTCGTAGTTTATTTCTGCTGGTAAGTATTCAGCAATGTATGTCACACCAAGAATATCCATTGTAACAAATGGAATCAAACTAAATTATAATTATTATAATTGTGTGCATATACTTAACATGTAATGATATATGTGTGTGTGAATACACATACATATGGAAATATACATATATTTATAAATATATAGACATTTCTTAATATACATATATAGCTATATTATAATATTAATTAATATGTATGCATATATATATGTGTGTGTGTGTGTGAGTGTGTGTGTGTGCATACATATCTATATATATATATATATATACACATATATATATATAAATACACATACATATGTGTGTGTGGGTGTGTATACAACAAAAAAACATTAACTGTGTTATATTAGTTTACATATTTCCATTTTTTGTTATCGTTAATTCAACTATAATTAGCCGTATTATCATATAGTCCTTGCCACAGTTATCATGATCATTATTGATATTATTGTTAGTATCATTATTATTACAATTATATTTATCATCATCAGCTCGATTATCGTTGTCATCACCACTATCACTATCATTATTTACTTAATAACAATAATAATTATAATAACATTAACTATGATAATATTAATAATAATAATCATAATAATAATGATAATAGCAATGTAATTAATAAGAATAACAATAACAATAGGTTATGAAACAATTATTATAATAATAGAATAATAATTATGTAATATAATTAAAAATAGAATAACAATAACAATGCAAATATCAATAGCAATAATAATAACATTAATATTACAAAAGGTGACCTTTCATAACAATATCTTTATTAACTTTATTATTACTATGGATAGAAATAATTTCTGTAATAATATTAATATAAAAACACAAAACCAAGCATGGTAATGTTGATAATGATAGTGAAAAATATACCAATAACAATAATGATAATAATGAAGATCATAAAAATTGGAAATGATATAGAAAGATTTAGGGGAAGGAATATAGACAGATAAATCGATAGTTATATGAAAAGGTACAGTAATGAAAAGAAACATGCATACACACTTATGAATATATATATATGTGTGTGTGAATTATATATATATATATATACAAATATTTATGCATGTATGTATATGTGTATGCATATATGAATGTATGAATATGTATATATATACAATATATATATATATATATATATATATATATAAATGCATGTATTCATATACGTATACATGTATATATGTATACATATATATAATTATATATATACACAGATAGAAATATAGACATGAGTGTATCGGTCTTTCAAATCATCAAAATGAAATAAATATCCATGCATCTTTTTCAAACAGTATGCATAAATTTCCTTCTTTTAATTGAAATAGGAGGATCATAGTTGAAGCTAAATCCCTTTTCAAATAGCCAAACGTCTTCCAAATCAGTTGTCATACTGAGTAGGTGCAATAGATTTCTCGAATGCCATGACCAGTAGTAGCAGTCTTTTGACCAGCCCTGTTCACTGCAAGCAGACATGTGCTTACCTGAACAAAAATTCCATGTGGAATTAAATACAGGCCATAAAAGGTTATTATTCTCTAAAGAACGACACATTAGAAATATGTATAGCATAAATCTGTAAAGGAGAATTTATTTTACATCATGGTATTTACAAAATCATAATGAAGAATTCCCAAACTTCAGTATGTACACATACATACATGCATACACACGCACACACACATATATATAGGATACTTAAGTAAAAATGAAGTTTTATACCTTTGTGCCGGGAACTATATACCAAACCCTGCTTCCCACACACATTAGTAAGGAAACTAAACCTTGCGAAACTGCTGATCTTTCTTCTATTTCATTTCTTAAACAAGCATTTAACAGTCCTTTTAAAACCCCAAGGCGTATATCAGTCCCTTACTTCGCCTAAGCAACCCACTTTAACTACTGGAAACCCCTGGGGTAACTCTTCCCAATCCCCAAGACTCAGGGAAGCGTCAGTTTCATTTCTTTACTTTCGCCTCTCGTCCAGTCGAGCGTCCCATGAAGCGAAGAGTCGTAGCTGCCGCTCAGCTTCGGGGAGCTTACTTGTGAGGAGAGTGTGTGAAGACATAAGGTGAGATCATAGGAGACTTTGGCAGTTTGTAGTTGTATTTTTTGCGGGAAAATATACAGCAATGTAATTATGTGCATATATTTAATATATATGTATATATGTGTGTTTATATACATATGTATAAATATGTGTGTATAAATATCTATATGTATATATATATATATATTTGTGTATATACGTATGTATATATGTATACATATGTACATATTTGCGTATATACGTGTGCATTTATGTATACATATGTAGATATTTGCGTATATACGTATGCATATGTATGCATATATATGTATATGTGAATATATGTATATATATGTGTGTGTGTATGTGTATGAATATATATGTGTATATATATGTATACATGAATATATGTACATGTAAAAATAAATTCTCTCTATATATAATCACATATAAATATATACTTATATCTATATACGTATATATATATATATATATATATATAAATGTATTTGTATATATATGTGTACACACAAATATATGTATATATAAAAAATTGTATATATACATTTGTATATATATAAACATTTGTATATATATAAACATTTATATATAAACATTTGTGTATATATATAAACATCTGTGTACATATATATAAACATGTGTATATATATAAACATTTGTATATATATATGTATATATATATATATATACAAATATATATATTTATATAGATATACTAATGTTTACACAAATGTATGTATATACACACATGTATGTACATACAAAATTGTATATGTGTATATAAGTATATATGTGTGTGTGTGTGCTTGTTTCCGTATGTGTGTATGAATACATGCAAAAATAATATATATGTATGTGTGTTTCTGTATCTATATGTATGAATATATGAATAAGTAATATATATGTATAAATACGAGTCTGAGTTTTTCTTTGTGTGTCTGCATATATATAAATAAATAGATAAGTGATATACATACACAGACACACACACACACACATATATAAATAGATTTATACACAAATGAACACACACACACATATATACCCATATATATATACAATTTTCGAAAAAGAGCCTAAAGTGCGAGAGTGGCTAGTTAATCTTGGTCAGTAATATATGCGAGTATACATATCCGTAAATATGGAACTGAATTTGTATATGTATATATTTGTGTGTGTGTGTATTCATATATATATATATATATATGTGTGTGTGTGTGTGTGTGTGTTTGTGTGACCGTATCGTTGCAATCGACTGTGGAGTATTATATGGTTTTATTGATCCTTATTAGCAAGACCAAAAGGAATGAGAGGTCAGGGGCCCTTACAACGAGGCATATACCAAAACTAATTACATTAATATTGATTCAGTTAATGCGCAGTTTCCACATACATTTGTGAGGGGAACTGTAAGCAGCACAGCCCTGCTCAGTGGCCCTTCCACCCTATGAATAGCTCATGGAATACGGGGAAACATCAGCAATAGAATGAGGAATGAGGAAGAAATGAGGAAAATGAGAGAAGAAATGGAGAGGAAAGGGACAGAGAGGGAAGAGGAACAGGAGGTGAGGAAGAGAAAGAGAGAGAGAGAGAGAGGAAGAGAGAGAGAGAGAGATGGAAAGAGAGAGAGAGAGAGGAAAGAGAGAGAATAGAGAAAGAGAAAGAGGGAGAGAGAGAAGAACAGGAGGAGAAAGAGAGAGAGAGAGAAGAACAGGAGGAGAAAGAGAGAGAGAGAAAGAAAAAGAAAGAGGATAAATGAAGAGAAAGAGGGAGAGAGAGAGAAGAACAGGAGGAGAAAGAGAGAGAAGGGAGAGAGAGAGAGAAAGAAGAGAGGGAGAGAGAGAGAGATTAGAGAAAGAGGGAGAGAGAGAGGGAGAATAGAGAAAGAGAAGGAGGGAGAGAGAGAGAGAAGAACATGAGGTGAAAGAGAGAGAGAGAAAGAAAGAGAATAGAGGAAGAGAAAGAGGAACAGGAGGAGAGAGAGAGAGAGAGAGAATGAAGAGATGGAGAGAGGGAGAGAGAGAGAGAGAGAGGAAAGAGAGAGAGAGAGAGGAAAGAGAGAGAGAGAGGAAAGAGAGAGAGAGAATAGAGAAAGAGGGAGAGAGAGAGGGAGAATAGAGAAAGAGAAAGAGGGAGATAGAGAGAAGAACAGGAGGAGAAAGAGAGAAAGAGAAAGAGAGAGAATAGAGGAAGATAAAGAGGGAGAGAGAGAGAAGAACAGGAGGAGAAAGAGAGAGAGAGAGAAAGAAGAGAGGAGAGAGAGAGAAAGGGAGAGAGAGAGAGAGAGGGGAAGAGAAGGGAGAGAGAGAGGAAGAGAAGGAGAGAGAGAGAGAAGAGAGAGGGAGAGAGAAAGAGAGTTTTATTGATCCTTATTAGCAAGACCAAAAGGAATGAGAGGCCAGGGGCCCTTACAACGAGTCATATACCAAAAATAATTACATTAATATTGATTCAGTTAATGCGCAGTTTCCACATACATTTGCGAGGGGAACTGTAAGCAGCACAGCCCTGCTCAGTGGCCCTTCCACCCTATGAATAGCTCATGGAA